GCGGGGGGGGGGAAGGGGGCACCCCCACCGCTCTGACGGGCACGGGTCTGTGTTTCGGGGCGGGGGACAGGAGACGCAGTACGCCAGCTGGATGGCCGCCTGCCGCCTGGCCTCCAAGGGCAAGACGATGGCCGACAGCTCCTACGGCATGGAAGTCCAGAACATCCTCTCCTTCCTGAAAATGCAGCATCTGAACCCAGACCCGCAGCTGATCCCGGAACAAATCACCACCGACATTAATCCCGAGTGTCTGGTTTCTCCTCGCTACCTGAAAAAATACAAGAACAAGCAGGTACGCGCTCGCCCACTCTCCCGGCGCGGTGTTGGTGTCGGTGTGGACCGGGCTGACCGTGCACCCGTTTCGACGGTAGCTGGCGTCTAACGATACGTGTTTGGGATGTTGTCACTTGATCGGATGCACGCGGTTACTAAAATGAAATGCCGACTGAAATGTGTGTGGTTTCGATCCAGCACCTGGCGATGGCACCCACGACCTTAATTACACCATATATTACACGACGGTGCATGTGCACAGCCTCGGCAGCGGGCAACCGTTTATTTTAAACACATTTGGAATTTATTTACATTTATTTCAAAAAACGTGGGGAATGGTTTAAAACAGGGGAGCGGTTTTTTGCCCCTGCTGATACCGAGCGACGGTGCAGCAAAGCACGGGTCAGCTGCCCGCCGCCCCCACCTCGCCCCGTCTCTCCCCGTGCGGATACAGCAGCGATGAGACAAAATCAATCCCTGGTGCTGGGATTAAAACCCTTTCCCTTGCACAGAGTCCGTGCAGAAATCCTCAGGATCAGCGGAGTTGCAGTTGCTTGCAGTGCTTTATCCAGACTTGGCTGTAATGCGGTTTGCGTATATCTCTCTTTGCTTTTCCACTACTTCCAAATGCCAGTCCTTGAAACGTTGCTTCATTTTGAGTTGCTGTGACTCGCGCTTGAACTCCACGCTACATTCGATCCGTGCATGACAGGGCTGAACTGTTCTGCGCTGGAAAATAAATGCATGACTTTCTGAAAGACATTGTATGTCGGTACGGCGGCAAAAATAAGTAAGGCATTGCTCCGTGGCCTTTCGGTGACTTAATCGTTCAGCTGTAGCTTCGCAGCCTGCGTGTTTCAGGCTGGCTGTGGCTGTATACGATTTCTCAAAAACCCAGAAGAAGGCTTCAAGTCAGAGAAGCAGGAAAAATATAACTTTTTATTGGCACAGCACGATGATTTCCTGGCAGTGGAGTTGTATTTTATATAGCCCTTATTATTCTTCTGAATAAGCCTTTATATCCACTTGGATGGAGGAGAGGCTGCATAAATATACCATTTTAACATATAGAATACCTTCTAGGCCTGAACTCAGTAAAATGGGGGCACCTGGAAAAATATTAGCTCGCAGAACTTGCTTACCACGCAGGTATCCTCGTTATAAAAATAACCTCCGTGGAACCGCGGGGACGGGCACGAGCCCTCGCCCTGCTCCCAAACGCCGGGTCGCCTCCCGACATCGGCTAACCAGCAGATTTAGAGCTTTTCTTTGACGGCCAGAGGCAGAGCTCACAGGAGCGGAGGCTGTTTGCCGGCACAGCTGGGAGGGACGGAGGGACGGAGGCTGCGGGAATGCAAGGAATTCCACCGCGAGGGTCCCTCCGCTTCCCGGCGCTGGGTAAGGAGGAGGAGGAGGAGGAGATTGTGCAGCCCACGACCGGTGCCGAAATGGGAACTGGCACTGGGGCTGGCTGGAGGATTTATAGAGACGCTTGGTCCCACAGCAGCCCCCGACCCGTTGCAGGGGGGGTGCTGGTCCCCACGAGCCCTTGCTGGAGCATAGGGTTGGCAGGTTGGGTTTGGGGAGAGCCAAATCCTAACTGCCAAATAAACCCCAACGCCCAAAATAAAGGTATTCAGAGCTCTCGGGTGCCTTGCTGGGGTTCAGTGTCAGAGCAGCATCCAGCCGGTTTGCAAGGGCAGATGCCTCCCCAGGAAGCCCCCCCAGGGTTGTCCATCCCCAGGGCAAGGTACTGCCCTCGCCCGTCGGTCTCCTACCCGTCGGTATCCTCCAGCCGCTTCCCTGGCTGTCTCGGATAAAAGGAGCTCTGGAGCTAACGGCCCCGGGGAGATCCTGAGCTTCCCCTGCGAGTAAGTGGGCTCGAGCTCGCGCAGAGGCGCGGGGAGGAGTGCCAGGACACAAATTCCCCTCTGAGCCGGCAGCTTCACCCTCCCCTTCATCCGCCAGCAGAACCAAAACCATCTCAGGACTAAAACCATCTCTAGAGGATGCCGGCTAGCCGGGACCGCACTGGTGCTCAGGCAGGGCCGGTACAAGCGGCGAATCTCTGCTCGCTTGCTCCCTCTCCATCCTTACGTTCAGTTTGGCTGCTTTTCTGGCTAAGAAATTGTGCATGTGTTTGGTTTTTTTTGCTTGAACTTTGGTTTGCAGATAATTTACACTTTTTCTTTGCTTTGTTGCCATATTTCTGATTGCTTTTTTTTCTTTCTGCCTCCTTTTCTTTTTTTTTTTCGCCTTGCCATCTACAGCCAGGCTATGTAAGAGACTTGGTAAGTGACAGCAATGATAGAATTAAGCTAAATTTAAAATAAAACTTAAAATAGTCTAGAACCCCTTTGGTTTGGTGAGCAGCAATGAACAGACTAACAAAACCCACCCACCCCACCACCCCCC